TGGTTAAGATCATGCCTGTGTTTGAGATTGCTTATGGAGTTGGGGAGGATTGAAACACAAGAAAAAAAAAAGCCAATAAATTAGCAGCCAGAGTCCGGGAGAACCAAAACAATCCTCACAATTCTCTAGAGGTAGCCAAAAAAGAACAAACATGGTGAAACCAAGGGGAGGTGGCTTATGGAGTTCTGAACTTATTATTATCATTATTGCATTTTAAATCATTTTTGTTATTACTAAACCAATGAATTTGTTAAATCAATGGAAAGAGAAGCACGGGACATCTCTGCATCATTTGTCTCTTTAATGGAGGATGAATTTGTGAGGGTATGTGAGAGACCTATGCAATGATTTGTAATACATTAAGGTCCCATCAGGGGGAGGAAAAACACTTGGAAATCTGCAGAAGAACTGAATGTTCATTTTTATAGATGAAAATTTTATAACCAATGCATGCCAGCCATTTTATAACACCTTGCAGAAATTACTGTCATTATCATTGTTTATTGGTTGTGGGAAGTTTCTACTGTTGATAAGCCATGTAGTCTTAAGAGATTTGACTTTGGCAACCCAGATGCCTCCTTCACAGAGGAGGTTCACTTTTTCACTCCTATGGAATAACAACTGCACAGTAGGTGCCGTACTGTCTTCTCAGGGTACCTGAATCACACATATTTTATACCATACCTAGAAGGCAAAATCTTTGTTCTTAACTGCCTTTGTTTCTCAAACACGAAGGGAAAAAACAAAACTATCCTAAAAACTGAAGCAGAATTTTAGCCAATCTCTGTGTAAAATTGTAAATTTATTTCTATAGTTATATCTACACAAAATGTGTAATGTGTGTAACTTATTCTTTGCTTTTAAAGTTGTCTTTATTTAACATAAAATTCTTGGATCTGTGTTTCTCTAATAACATTTCATAAAAGAAAAAAACCAATGATTTTTAAAAATATACTTGGAATTTTTATCGACTAAAAAACATATACATGAGGATATAAATTTTTTTTTACATAGTAAAGTTTAATAACTATGCCAAATAGAAACAGAAGAATATTTTAATGTGTTAAATTTCTACATGGTTTAATCAAAAAATTTTTAGTGCATTTGCAAAAAATGTCATGCAAAAAATTAACACATGAACTATTAGCAACACATCATAACCAAACAATAAACCATTCAGATGCATTTTAATTATAAAACCACAGATCTACTTCCTTATAAGATACAGTAAACTTTTATATTTTAGAGTGAGCACTGATACAGAAGTAAAAACCTAAGTGCTCATAATTTGATCAAAACACAAATAATTTTCCTTACCAAGAGAAGTTACATAAATCATATAAAAATGATGAGCTCAACTTATTCTTTACTTAGAACATTGATAATCACACATTATCATTGTACATAGTAAAGATATAAGGCACAAGAATAATATTAAAGCAATAAAACAAAATAGATTTTCTCCAAACTTCTAAAATTGACTACAGTCACTCCCTCTTCCCATATACTGTTACATTTGTGACAATAACTCACTCTATTACACTATATGATTTAAGCTGATAAAACTATAGAGAATTAATTTGGTCTCATTCATGGATTAAAATTAAATTCTTATTGGCTTAAGTCAATGGAGCTCCATTAGTTACCTCTTGATTTTAAAAATGCATTATGGTTATCCAGGCATTGTAAAATTCTCTCCTAATTCTCCATATCCTACAGGATATTATGCCTCTTCATAAACAATATTTTTTTTCCTTATCAACTTGTGGAAACACACTTTCATTCTCCATCCAATTTACTTCATAGTAGGAAAAACATAATTTTCATGTGGTAAGAACAAAAATTAGACCCATCTCCATACCAGGATATTTTCTGAAAAGCAAAAATCTTGTAGTATTTACAAAAATGATATTTAATAATAAGAACAGTATGTGCTCATCACCTTAGAAAGATGGATTAACTTTAAAAAAAAAAAAAAATGGTTCCATTCCAGGACATTACATTCACACAAGGAAGTTAAAATTCTTCTGCACTGAACTTGAACATTAGATAAACTAGTGGACTAATAAGCTAGTCTTTTATTCAATTTGTAGTGAACCTGGCTGTTTAGTACCAAGTTTCTACAAATTGAATAAAAGACATTCATGTAAATTACACACACATATTCGCAAGCAGTAATGACCTGACACAGTCTGGGCTGGTATTAAATATTCTGCACCTAAAGTATATGGTACTTAAGATTGATGACAAAGAACTAAAGAACTATATGCTCTCATTACTTCAGGAAAACAAGATATCTATCTATCTGTCTATCTATCATCTAACAAATCAGTCCTCCCTATAATAAAATTTTTTCATTAAAATGCTGGTAGCTTTCTTGAGAAGAATCTTAAATCTCTTAAAGTCTTTGGGAACTAAGTCATAAAGCACCATGACATACATCATTTCTTAACATTTCCTCTCCAAGTGTTTTTTCACATTACTTCTCTAAAAAGAGGCTTATTCCATTAATAATGTTGTGCCTGAGGAGGCCTTTCAATGTTTTAAAGTGTGTGAGTGCATCTGTATATTTGCTATGTTTATGTGTATATCTATATAGTCTATTTCTGTTCAGATTGGCAACAGTTCAGATATGATGCTTTCTGTTTAACAATTATTCTCCTTTTAAAAATTTTGCTTTTGCTACTTATTGAGTAAAAAATGAAAATATAAAACTAATCTGTAGGAGTCAGTTAATGAAATAAAGTAAAGAAGACCTCCTCGTGTTCTGTGGCCACAATTTTAAATACACAAAGGTTTCCTAGGTGAATTCACTTTACCTTTTGTGCAGAAGGTAGGTTATTTGGTGAAATTTTTGAGGATATTGTTTATGTGCTATAAGCTGGAAGAGTTAGTATGAATAATTTCATAACTAGTATGGCCTCATAGTCGTGAGCTACAGAGATAGCTGACTGACTTAAAGCTGCATATATGTAGGACAGTTCTGTCTTTACAGAGGATAGCAGGAACTAACACTCTCAGAATAAAGGAGGAGGTGTGGAGTACCACACTCTTCCTATGAGTCTGGCATTCTCATAATCCCCCGAAACATAACCAAAAATGTCTTAATAAATAGTCACCCTACGACCATAGAGAAAAACAATGTGTAAAAAGTTATCTCATGGCCATAGTATTGCGTTTTATAATTAGAAGTCCATGAACTCTCAATAGCTATTTTAACAGAAGCTAAGACAGGTAAAGCATCTTTAGCATGAAAACGACTTTAGTTAAAATCTTCATTTGCTCTGCAAAACTCCTAAGGTTCCAATTTAACTAACAAGCCATTTATTTACAAATATCACAAAACCAAATTAAGTTTAAGAAAAGAGTTCCATAAAATTAAAACTAAGAACTCTATCACAAAGAACTAACATCTTAAAGCATTCTTTTGAGTATCACATAAAAGCTACATGAGTTTTTCACAGCACCCTCTCTCTATAAAATACCTGAAACCTAACCAAGATCTCTTCTGCTCACTCACATAAATGGTTTCAAATTTGTCAGTCTTACTTTATTTGTGGAGCTACTGTGCTATGGAGGCCACTTTTCCCATGGAGAAAATGTCTACATTTGGGAGGTGAATTAAGTTTCATTACTTATGTTAAAGTCATTTCCAAAATAATCCATGATTTTCATTCTATAAATGATTTCTTCCTCAGTTAGATAATATATTTCATTCTCTCTCTTTTTTTAAAGTGATTAGTTGTTATTCATCCCCTCAAGTTATATCAGAAGCGTATCTTGTCAATAGGTGGTAAAATATGTATATACAAGAGAAGCATCACATCCGCACTTTTCAAAATTTTTGCTAGTTATTGTGGCCCTATCGCCTTCTTGAAATACACTTAAAATACCAAATTTCGTTTGTCATGTAAAATAACATTGTGTTTCATTAAGATAACTCCTAAAAAGTTCTTGAAAACCTAAGATGAAGAAAAAAGCCGGAGAAAAAAGAGAGACAGAATATCTTTATTAAAGAAGTGGGGGGGGGGAGGGGGGAGGCGGAATTAAAATAAAATAAAATAAAGGAGGGGAAAAGCTCCTCATTAAAGAAAAAGAATCACCTCAATCGTTAGTTATAATTTCTTATATTTAATCCCTTATTTTTATAAATATTTAAAATCATTAACCCCAGGCTCAGTAATAGCATGGGAATTTAACATTAAAAACCAGATAATCTTATTTCCCTAGCAACACAAGATTGTTGCTAATAGTCTATGGTGCTTTATACTGTCCCATCTGAAAACCAAGCCTACTAGTAGACATCACAATCTAAATTTTATACTAAAAACATAGTATACCATTTATAATTCATCCTCCCAGATTAATATATTGTTATATCATTATCTCTTTCCAATACTGTTACATTATACTCTCTGCTTATACTTCCTATTTGTAGAAAATATTAAAATAGCTGCTAGGAAAAATACATCCATTTTCTATAGTGTTATTAAGTGCTTTACATAACTACTCTGATTCCAAATGGTTGGTTATAAAACCTGGAGGGGAAATAATATTTTAAACTTATGATTAATAACGAATTCTATGAAAGCACTAGCAGTTTAAATTTCACATTTATAATTTCTATATAATTAACAAAAATATTATGTAATATGAGAAAAATATATTTTTTCTATACTTAAGGAAGAACTACATCATCTCCTGAGAATTAAATAAACTAATACAATTATGTTTTTCCCCATATATACCTAACAAGGCAATTTTGAGTTAATTTAATCAGTCCACAAAACTGTAATTGAGAACTGGTTTCATTATGACAATTTTTAAACTTTTTTCCAACAATTTCTATCAGATAACTTCTAATTATATAAAAAAGAATATGCTTGAGAGTCTAAACATACCAGCTTGAAAATAAATATCTGCTGATATACTTAAGGACAAAACATGACAAGGCAGTCCAAATAAAATAAAGCAAAAAGCAAGTGAAATTGAGCAGTGACAAATTATTCATAAGCCTACTTTTTCTTTTCTATTACACTCTTTTTCTTTTTTTTTTTTGTAAAAAAATTGTTTGGAGAGAATTCAATCTTTAGACTACCCAAATATTGAGTTTCCTAATGTAATAACAGGGAGAAGAGAGGGATGTCGTTGGTAAAGGTGGACCAGATCAGTGAAAATCCATCGGATACCAGAATTTGCAAACCATCCAGCCAAGGCTCAGTAATATAATGAGATGTTCCTTCATAATTCCTTCCTGAGTGTGTGTCATGAAAGCCACAAGTATAAAAACCTGAAGCACTTAAGGGAGAAACATGACAATATTAATCACTAATACACTGAATAAATAATTCCTCCTTTCAAAATAAATATGTTACATTCTTTTTAATTTTTTTTTAAGTTGGATTTTAGTTAAAGAAGAAGAAAGAAAGGAATATCAACATGTCATGGAAACATTTCAATCCATTGCCATCCCCAAATTATCTCTGAAACTAAACTGTAATTTGTTTATTCTCAAGAGTTTATTGTTTTTAAAAAAATAGTACATGCTTTCCTATTATTTCTTTAAAATTTTACGCTTTTCTAGATAAGTGCTCTAGCATAAGCGGCTATCTAATAATCTCGCCTCTAAATTTATAAGAAAGTATACGATAGGAGTAATCTTATTCTTTTTCATCCTTTACAAAAACAAGTGCCCAATTGTCTTCCAGTGTACATTACCCTCTATCCTTCTTATTTTTCTAAATGACTTTTAAAAATATATCCTATATTAAGAAGTCATTCTCCTTTAGTAGCTATTCAAAGTTATCTAGTCTTTCCTTTAGGCCTCTAATTTTATAATTCAGTAGGTAGTATTCAACCATATTGTCACATTATGTTTAGCGATAACTATACTTATTATTCAAGTATTATAACCCTTCATTTTTCTTATAATCAATATACTCTCTTTTTAAAAATCATCTATGCTACGACAGCACTGTCCTTGCTTTGTTCGTTGTCATCATTTTCTTGTGGACTAGTGATTTTTACTTCTGGCCTTGGTGGTCTTTGAGGGTCTAAGTCAGCCTGGAGGAAAAGAGATCAAAACAAAGATATTTAGCTCTTTAGTTACAAAGGTAATAAAACTTACAAAGAAAAAAAATTACTCAATATTCCATTTAACCAAATAAACATTCAACTGAGGACAGTTCCTTGGGTTTCTTTGTTTTTCAGTCTATTATCACCCAGTGGACATACCAGTCTCAACACTACTTGTACAGAAGCACTTTCTGGGCCATAATCCACTATGTGCTTCAGGGGCACAGATTCATTTCTTGTGCTACAGGCTTTAGTTTTCTCGATGTTTTTATTTCCTGTGAGCTTTTCTTTTCAACAGCATATTTGTACTTTTCATTTTAGCATTTTCAGAGAAAAGGGAAGAGAAAGATGTAGCAATTCTACCCTTATATCACATTAATTCAGCTCCATACCAGCTGCTCTGCTGTTAGTTTTCTACCAGAAATCACAAATTCTTTACGAATATAGTACCGAGTAGCATCAAATATCAAGTAGATAAGAGCAGGACAGAAAATGAAAACACGGAGGCAGCATTTCTCCAACAGCATCCTTTGTTCCTGTTTCTTGGACTTCTCATATGTCATTAATGATATTGTCTCATTTAAAATTTGTTTTTCTCTAATAGACTGAAAACTAAGGGGTGAGATTAGAATTAGCTGGTTCTTAAATTTGGCTTCATGGAATCCTAGAGGCTCCACAGCCCCCACAACAGCCACCAGTGTGGGGAAAACAGAATTACCTCCTCCCCTACACGCCATGATTTATGCTCTAAAAAAGAAAATAGGGCTACTGAAACTATCTCTTATTTCACATTGTTATTTTATGAAGTGTCTCAAATAGTATCTTGAATATAGTATCATCTCAATAAATATTAATTGATTGTTGAGTATTTGTCATATATTTCCTGCTGTTTTCCAACAATCATATTCTTTGCCTAAGAACTGCTACATGGAACAAAATGTTACATGGTAAACTGAATTTTTAGTCATTTTATATACAAAGAATCTTTTTGAAAAAGTTAATTATTAATGCATAATTTATAATTTATATAAATCTGATTTTTCATATAATTGATATGCTAAACGTATACCTATATTAATACTTTAGAGAGAATGAAAAATATATATACTATCATTATAAGAGAGATGGGTCAAATAAGACTAAACCTCTTTTGGGTAACTGCTCTGTCTTAGGCATGTGTTTAGTCCTTAAAATTCCTAACTAGTCACGTATCATGCGCTTGTTCATTTGGCTCCCAAGAATTTAGATTTACCTTCAATACATACTATTAACATGTATACTTCAAATGATGTGACCTTTATCCTGACTGATGCCTAATTTCTATAAAAAGCCTATTTTTTAAAGTTAAATTTATGGAATAGAAGGACAAGTAATCTATTTACTTCTGTAAAACCTATTTAGGTTATAACATTGAATGAAGCTAGGCGATTGGAAAAAAATGCACATTTGAATTTTACTACCTGGATACCACATAGAATTTATACTTTGATTTAGACTTTGATTTTATGCTGTAAATATTCATCGAAGAGCGATATATAACAAAGAGCCTCATGAAACTTGCCATTGCAGTTGCCATACAAATGACACTGAGGACACTCTATGTGATTGTGCTTCCTGTACGAGTCCCTAGACAAGAGATTTTGCTTCCCTCGAGAAACATTTTCTCTTTTGCCTTCCTTGAGAAATTAGTTTTGTTTCCTTATGGAAGTAAAGGGAATCATGTAATTGACCAAATTTTTTTTATTATTATTTTAGCTACATTAGCTGTAGCTAAATGTACAAACTTCAGAATATAAATTTTAGCTAAATTTTAATAACTATATAGAACTACACATGGGAAATTTCTTATAGAATAAGACATTGATTACTTCATGCTGAGAAAAGATGAGAGATATGAGTGTTTTCATTCAGATGTTAAGAATTATTTTTTTGTATAAGCAATATAGTAGATTACAGATAACTTTGGACTGGTTATTGAAACCTGGTCACAAGAACATTTTGCATTTTACCATTACTAAACTTAGTTTCCCTGTGTTAGATAAGCAGATGAG